CTTAAAGCAACAGGGTACAAATAAAATGGTATATGTACCCAAACAATATGCATGGTGTCACCTAGTAGGGTTTTGAAAAGTGATCCACTTAATTGCAAATTTTGCATTAATTTGTGTGTTTTGAAGGTGAAAGACACTAGAGTGCTGTGGCTGCTTATTGGCATTTTTTCACTTTTGTTTTGTATTAATTTTATTTAAAGTAAGCCTATTCTAAGTAATATTTTTTGTTTGTTTTAGTGCAGTTAATATGCCTAAATATGGAGAAGCACCAGCCATGTTAAGATTAATATATAAACAGACGGCTTTTTACAAAGAGATAGTCAAAGTTGGACCTCTATTTTGCGACTACAAACCCTAAAACAACTGTCCATTCATTTTTTTAATAGCCCAATAAGTCTGCACAAATACATTCAATAATATAAATATGTTTAGAGTAATAACAAAATTAAAAGGTCTTTGCAAGAGTCTGCAGGATCTGTTACATGTACAAACAGAAGTGTATTCTTTTATACTATAAAAGAGAAAATGACTTCTATCTGAAAAAAAAAGTGTTGAAGTAGTAAGTCTATGTATCAGGACGTTGAAGATGGGAGAAGCTATAGAAATATTGGTGCGTTTGAGTAAAACCACTGGGTAGAAGGAAAGTACTCTTTGATTGGACTAAATCGGCAGAATAGGTCTTGGTGGAAAGGGACATGTGTGGATCCAAAAAAATAGTGCTAGATATCTTCTGCTTTTTCATTTTGAGCAATTAACACACCAATTCTCATTGTGAAATCTAGTAAATGGTCTTTTAATAGACACTTCAAATGCTTAATGCTCTCCAGCTTGCTTAAGTACTTTATGTGTGAAGAGTATGTCCTCTTTTTCAACAGAAATGTATAAATTAACCTTGCTCCATTCCCTAGCTGTCAAACAGATGACAAGTTTGGTTACTTCTTGGTAGTTTAACTCAGTGGAGTAAACTCAAGAGGCAGCAATTGCCAAGAGCACCTGCCTTGAAAAGACTTCTTATTGAGCTGTACTGGGAAGTCTGTGATTGGACAGCCACTGTTAATCTGGGCTGGGAAACAAGGGGACAGCTTGCAAAGACTACAGACAAGAGAGGTGCAGCTCTTGAAGCGGATTTACATGTACCCCTATAGAAAATCGACACAATTAAATGCATGCATGGTTTGATTGGGGGTATATCTACTAAACAGGTATTGTTTTTCTTGTTGTGTGGAGTGTCGCTTTAAGAACACATATACCAATACTTCCTTGAACCACTCTGCTGCTAACATATGTTCTCCTGTGTATCGCACATTACAGGTCACTTTGTCAGATTGTCTGTTATTGAGAAAAGCAAATAACCAACTCCTTAAGTGGAAATACTACTTATTTGTGAAGAGACAAAGGAAAACATTCCTGGCAAGTGATGTAAAGTATTAATCTTTTCAATACAAGTTTTCTTAAAGCCATTCTTTCTGGATAGGAAATCCAATAAACATATTAATCCTCAGTGTTAAGAATACATAATAATAGAAAACAAGTATATAAAAAAAGAACTTTACACATAGATTATCATGAGCAAACCATTGATTTTTAATTGTATCTAATGTGAGAGTTTTTGCTCCGGATGTGCATAGGAAACACAGAATGTATGGTACAATACCAGCCTATTTAATTGCAGCCCTGAGGGAGGTTTTCCTTCACTTGCATTATGTATCGGAAGTTGGGTACATTATGTTAAGTAATTAACTTTCTTTTAATGCATTCACTTATGTAAAATGACACACAGGCTATTGTTTGCTTTATGTGTTTTAACTGAAATCATCTCTCACAAGCCACTTGCCAAATCAGTTGGGAAAAATGTGTACACAGTTTATATGAATATATGTAAATATAAAAATACAAAGCAATTTTTCAATCCAACCTACGTCTTTTAAAAGACATAGGTGGAATCGAAACATTGATTTGTTTCTTGTTTTTAAATACATCCTTCACTAATAAAGTCATGTGACTGCAATCATATTTACAGCTATATAATACAGAGACAGTTTCTAGTTTAAATTTGTAAATTGAGTTTTCACACACGTCAATCAATAACTATTGTGAACTTCAAGATGGGTGTATAATGTATTCCTCTGTGGCCACACAAGTGTATCATTAAGCACATAACTTAAGCAATCTAGTCAATAATAGTTATAAAAATATTTGTCAGAATGCCCAAGAAAGTGTAACAAACCTTTCTTGCTTAGTGATATCATGCATCAATGCCTAATGTATTCATTTTGCTTTAATGAATTAATGCCTGTTTAACTATTGCTCCTTGCTACCTTCATAACTTGATTATTGAGTTGCCCCTTGTTTGCCTTGCCGGATGTTACCCTGTTGCCTGAGCTACACTCACATAGAGCTCAGCCCTGGATATATGGCTCAGTAAGAAAATGCCTTAGTGCCCTTATAAGTAGCACTTAATCATTCTTGAGGTTTTCACACTTCTTGCAAGAAAGGTTGAGAGGTGTTTTCTTACTGAGCCCTATACCCAGGGCTGAAAAGTCAGCATCAAAGCAATAGGAACCATGACACTACCTTTTTGGATTGTGTTTCCTTGTGTTTCTCTTGGCTCCTGTCCCTGGATTCTATTCCTGGCTTTATCCTTAGATCACCCAATCATGCCTGCTGCCATTCAGGATTTAGACCTCGTCCTACTCTGCCTGTGAAATCTCTCTAGTTATCCCTGTGCATTTCATCCTTGATATTAGACGACAACTCACTCTGATCATCCATTCAAGCACTGTATTGTTATTTCAGACATTTCTGCCAAGTCTCAACTCATGGTCAAACACCATTGTTGTATTTTGTTATTCTCACTCATTCTAAAATAAATACTTTGTTTACTCATGGATTTTGAGTGGCGAAAGTAACCTCACCACTTGTACTTGGAGAGGCCTGCTTGCAAGCCTCTTGACCTGTGACTATGGCCCTTTAAAAGCTCTATTTGGGCTTATTGGATTGTAAAATACTCTTTCTGCCCCTTTAAATTATATTGGAGCAGTTCTACAACATTGAAGTGGCACTTCGGATACAGCCGAATGCCGAAGTGGCCACCATTCGACAAACGAACCCGTAGCGGCGACCATTTTAATTCAGTCAAACACGTTCAGCTGTGTTTGGTCGTCCAGTTCATGGAATGCAAATCGGACACGCGACGGCACGAACACCGCTGAACTTTACCTTCTCCAGACTTCAACTCATTTCACTGGAGTTAAACGCCGTTCGACAAGTCGAACGGCACTTTAACATTGACATTTGCGTTCGTCTATTTGAACAGAACTTAACATTGGAGATAGTTTTGAGCATGAAAATGTGCGAGCGGTCAGTCAAATGTGACTTCCAGGAATTTCCTGAACCCCTGCTCTGATCTGGGTGATTTTTGGATATGTTGCTCACCCAGATCAGGGCTATATTATGGGGGATATGTTGTGTTTTGGGGTGTTTTCTATACTTTGGGGAAAATTAGTGTTTTTCTGCCTGTGGATAATTAGATTATTATATTAGCTGTTTTAATTACATCCCAGGCAGAGGGGAGGGCTTATGTGTAAGCGCTACGGAATCTGTTGGCGCTATATAAATGGCAATAATAATAATAATAATAATAATAATAATAATAATGTGCTGTACGTGTGAGTGTCGGACATTGTTGTATTGTTTTGATTGGCTTATGTCCCTTGTGTGCCTGTGTGCCATTGGTCCAGGGGGTGTGCCTCTGGCCTGAGGAATTGTATAAGTTGTGAGTGCTTGCTGCCATTAAACAGACCTGCTTGACCCCTTCATGAAGTCTTGGCTCATGTTTGGAGGATGGGATAACTACACTCTTGGGAATTGCTATATCACAATACTCCCCTGAGTATAAGCTCTTGTAAGAGCTTGTTCCTGCTACACTCTCTGGAGTAGGAGAGGTCTACCCACTGGAAGCTGGATCCTGGTCTTGGGTCCAGGGTGGGTGGAGGACAGCAATACCCCGGCGCAGCTGCATCGCTGGAAGTGGGGTCTGCCGTACTTATGGTGTCTGGTGGAGTGCTTGGAGTCCTCGGCAAGCACTAGGAGCATCGATTGGCGGAGGTACTCGGTCGGAGTGCCAGCGATCCGTCACACTCATGGACTTTGTATCAATTCCCTCTCCACTCAAATGTCTAATATGGTTTAATTCTGCTACAACTAGTCATTGTCCAAGTATCTCTGCTCGTTCTACTTGGTGACCTAAGCAGTTCACTGTTCCTTGGATTCTTAATTCTGCTAATCAAGGTAAATATGATTGGACCTTCTTTATTGACCATTTTGCTCTTTTATTTTTTTTGAGACAAATAAATCATACACATGTACAGCAGTGTAGATAACATATATGGTGATGATGTCACATGCACATTGCAATAAAGAAATAATATGAACATTTTGCAACACAAAGATCCTATAAGTTAATTATTTGATCCTATAAGTATACAAGATGGGAATGCAGGTAAAAAGATAACACAATTGCCCATGTTTTCAGACACAGGAGGAGAAGGAGATAAAGAGTAAAAGAGGAATAATAAAAGAGGCATAACCCCGACTGGGCCTCATGTATGCAGTGGACCGCTTTCATGCCCTGAGGGAGGGAGTTTAGTCAAACCCCCAGACTCTAAAGGGTTTACCCAGACTGGCACCTCATAGAGATGTGCTATTCCTGGGTCTTCAGGGATAAGAGGCTGAACCCTGGCATTAATGCAGTGGACCGCTTGCATCCCCTAAGGGAGAGATTGGGTCCAACCCCTGGTCACTAAAGGGGTTGTCAGGCTGGCAAAGTCATAGAGATGTGCTGTTGCTGGGTCTTCAGGGATTAGAGACTGAACCTTGGCAGGGCCAGAAAAATATTGGCCTGGTGAGCATAAAAAAAAATTCTAGGCCTGCTTAAGCAGACTCCTTCCAAACTGCTGTGAAGGACAGGAAAGAAGACAGCCTGGTGGGAAGGGGGAGGATCTATTTATACCAACTTCAGAGTTCTATGTTGCCATGATTGATCAGGATATATATATATATATATATATATATATATATATATATCCTGATCAATCATGGCAACATAGAACTCTGAAGTTGGTATAAATAGATCCTGGTATATACACATATATATACACATACATACATACATACATACACACACACACACACACACACACACACACACATATTTAGATACATATATATAGTGTAGATTGGATTAGCCGTGTTAGTCCAGTAGTCAAGTACCAAAATAGCAGAGTATTGAAAAATGCAATGATGCCTTTTTATTGGACTAACATAATATTTCAAAGACAAGTTTTTAAGAGTTTTCCTCTCTTCCTCAGGTCTGAAGCAATAAACATATATACAAATATACACACACATATATACACACACACGTGTGTGTGTATTTATATAATCTTCTTAGACAGGCTCAATTTCAGTGCCGTTGGTGGACCACTACAGTATATTCGAGCTATATGATAAGGGCTATCAGAACTAGTTCCCTACATTTTTGCCAACTGTATAAGGGGGGCATAAAGGGATAGCAAGGACAGCAGAACAATTATTAACATAAACAAATAAATCAGCCCTGCACTCAAATTTTTATCACTCAAGCCAGCTATAGATGTGGAGTCTGAAATCAGCAGACAAAGACTCATTTGTGTGAGAGCCAAAATGTAAAGCTGGTAATCCTACTTTTAAATGTAAGAATCAAATTTATTTATTTTTTAATACAATTCCCTCTCCTTTCTCTCTCCCCTTTCTTTTTTTCCCCTCTGTTCCCATTCCCATCCATGCATTGGAGAAAAGATCACTGTATCCAATAAGATCTTGAAAGACTGTTCTTTTATGACAATATTCACATCTGGTGTGAGTTTGTAGTTATAAATAATATAAATTTTACACTTTCAAAACATTACACAACCATTTTAGAGCATGGTTCTTACCTTTTAGATTTCTGACATATTTATGTTATAAGTTGTTTTTTTCCGGTCTATAAGACTGTTGCCCCTATTGGTCTCTTTTTCTTTCGCTTTCCAACCTTAGACTTCATTCATCTAACTTGCAAACCTATATCACTATCATGTATTCACACTAAACAACAAAGCTGTTGATGATGTGTCCGTGACTGTCTTACATGTGTGCTTCAGAAACATAAATGGAGAACTATAACAAGACAGGTTAGCTATGTGTAACCACAAGGGATTGTAAGTGGTTTGAAATGGAAAAATCACTAATTGAAAATATTATATAAACCATTGGAAATGTGATGGGAGGACAAAGTAGTGACAACATTTCAAACCTACTAAATCAAGCTACATAACTGTGTATATTATAACTTAAATGTATTCATTATATTTTTTAGTAAGTTGTCGCTTCCACTTGCAGCAGAATTGTATTGTACCAAAGACAAAAAAAAACTCACAAATAAATGAGTAAATGATAAAAATACATCATATGTCAAAAAAATTCTAAATAGGAATAATAATATTGAAAGTCGAAATACAACAGTAAAAAAAATATATATATATATACATACACACACACACACACACATATATATATTATATATATATATATATTCATGTAGTTAATCGTGTAAGTTTTAACAAGCCCCAAATTATATGTAACAGGGAACAGAACATTATTTATACACAGCATGGGAGTTCAACTTATAATTTAGTTCACCAAAAAGCTCTAAAGACTAATGTCAGTGTGTAAACAAAACTAATAGTCTTGTTTCAGGGTGATTTTCTATCCTTTGTTCATGGTACAGAAGGTTAATCCCTGTTCCAGCTCTTTAATGTTTTGTAAGTTGATCTGACTGTTTGAATTTCTCTGATATAAACATTTTGTGGTTAGTAATTGTGTTATTTTAAAAGTAGAGATTCTAGGGCATCAGTGTACATTTTTTAAAGTCATACATGACAGCTGTGTTTCTGTTTATTTTAACACTTGCTATTTCTTTTTGTTTTGACTTTACACAACTTTGATATTTTATGACTTTGGCAATGAAGTGGAAGATAGATATAGTGACATCTAAGACAAGAAGTGGAAATACTTAACAATGAAAGGTAATATCTTAAGATTAGGGGAACTTCTGTCTGTGTCTTTACATTAACACATGAATTTGAAACTTCTATCTTGACAGATTGGTTAAAAGATGATCGTAGGACCATAAATACCATAGAGGGGGGAAAAACCTGTCTGTGGTTGTTGGACTGGATTATTAATGCTATGTGGGAAGATTAGGATGTTTTGAAAGAGCAACACTTATGATGTCAAGTTCAATCAGGGTTTAACAAAACACATATGAGAAGTGCAATATAGCCTTTTATCTACTTGGCAATACTTACCAATACATGAACAAATTATTAACAGGTTAATATTGTTTTAATATAGATGGCTTTTATGTAAAATATAATTTTTTATAAATGTTATCAGAATCGTCTGTGTCTTACTTCAGCAAGAGTCATTTGGTTATTGTGTCTGCTATAATGAATAATTTAAGGGTCAGTGACTTAAATTCAAGTGGATCTACTCTTCTTAAAAGATTATCAAGTCTCTTATTGTAATAGTATATAACTGTTATGGCAAGCCATGAGTAGAGAGGACACATGTCTTACATTTCCTGGTGTCTTTCTCCCTCACTATGCCTACCAATCTTCTAACACCATACATATCACCTAAGCCACTGTGAATGACCAATCTTCTCTGAGATATGGTTTCTTCACAGAGATCCCAGCCTGGGTCTCAGTTCCTCAATCAGAACTAGCTATAGTGTTTTATACCCCACCACCTACAGACTGTAAGCTCGTTTGAGCAGGGTCCTCTTCAACCTATCGTTCCTGTCCATTTTCTTGTAATTGTCCTATTTATAGTTAAATCCCCCCCTCTCATAATGTTGTAAAGCACTTCGAAATCTGTTGGCGCTATATAAATGGCAATAATAATAATAGTACAGTGATCACAGTTAAGGAAGAAGTGCTTATTATGGTTGGGCTATTGGAGCCCAGAATGACATGAACAATGTCTATGCATCCCAATCTATTTGGCTACCCCAGTTTCCATTTAAAAAGAAAAAACCTCAGTCAGTGTTCAGACTTATTGTGAGCTAGTGTGTTACATAGTTACATAGTTACATAGCTGAAAAGAGACTTGCGTCCATTAAGTTCAGCCTACCTCACATTTGTTTTTTGCTGTTGATCCAAAAGAAGGCAAAAAAACCCAGTTTGAAGCACAATTTTGCAACAAGCTAGGAAAAAAATTCCTTCTTGACCCCAGAATGGCAGTCAGATTTATCCTTGGATCAAGCAGTTATTACCCTACATTGAAAGATTATATCCTTGAATATTTTGTTCTTGCAAGTATGCATCTAGTAGCCGTTTGAACATCTGTATGGACTCTGATAAAACCACTTCTTCAGGCTGAGAATTCCACATCCGGATTGTTCTTACAGTAAAAAAAACTTTCCTTTGCCTTAGACGAAATCTTCTTTCTTCCAGTCTAAATGCATGTCCTCGTGTCCTATGTAAAGTCCGGTTTGTGAATAGATTTCCACACAATGGTTTGTATTGGCCTCGAATATATTTGTATAATGTTATCATATCCCCTCTCAGGCGACGTTTTTCTAAACTAAATAGGTTTAAATTTGTTAACCTTTCTTCATAGCCGATATGTTCCATTCCTTTTATTAATTTTGTAGCCCGCCTCTGCAAAATTATATTCTTGTCCCGAGAATGAATGCCCCTTTTCATGCATGACAATACCTTACTTGCCTTGGCCACTGCTGATTGACATTGCACATTGTTGCATAGTTTGTTGTCTATAACAATTCACAAGTCCTTTTCATGTGTTGTTATCCCTAATTCGCTTCCATTAAGGGTATACGTTGCATGTGTATTCTTTACGCCGAAGTGCATAACTTTGCATTTTTCAACATTAAATTTCATCTGCTATTTGAGTGCCCAGTCCCCCAGTCTATCTAAATCCCTCTGCAGCAAAGTAATATCTTGCTCACATTGTATTGTTTTTACAAAGTTTGGTGTCATCTGCAAACACTGAAACATGACTTTCAATGCGGTCTTCAAGATCATTTATAAACATGTTAAATAGAAGGGGTCCCAGAACAGACCCCTGAGGGACACCACTTGCCACCTCTGTCCAGCTTGAAAATTTACCATTAATGACAACTCTTTGTACTCTGTATTTAAGCCAATGTTCTACCCAAGAACAAGCATTTTCATCAAGACATTTCCTTGAGTTTGAACACTAATCTATTGTGTGGAACTGTATCAAATGCCTTGGCAAAATCCAGATAGATCACATCCACGGCAACACCCTGATCTATACTTCTACTTACTTCTTCGTAGAACGCAATCAAGTTAGTTTGACATAACCTGTGCTTCATAAAACCATGCTGATTTTTGCTGATAACCATGTTCTTCTCAAGGAATTCTTGAATATTATCCCTTAATATCCTTTCAAATATTTTACCAGCCACAGAAGTTAAGCTCACAGGTCTATAATTTCCAGGCAAGGATTTTGAACCCTTTTTGAATATAGGAACCACATCTGCCTTCCTCCAATCCTCCGGAACACTTCCTGAAAGAAAAGAATCTTGAAAGATTAAAAACAGAGGTTCACTTATTTCTGCACTTAGTTCCTTAAGTACATGTGGATGGATACCGTCAGGCCCTGGAGCTTTGTTTATATTAACTTTCTTTAGTTGCTGCAGCACCTTGTCTTGAGTTAACCAATTACAATTATTCTGCAAGTTTTTAGTAGCAATCATTTGCACATCTATTGCCATGGGTTCTTCCTTAATATATACGGAGGAGAAATAGTTATTTAAAATTCCTGCCTTTTCCTGGTCTTCATTAACTAACACCCCCGTTTCAGTTTTTAGTGTACCTACACTTTCATTTTTGTTTTTTTTAGAATTTATGTACTTAAAAAATGCTTTGGGGTTGGTTTTGCTCTCTTCAGCTATCATTATTTCATTTTGAAGTTTAGCAAGTCTAATTGCCTTTTTGCACGCATTATTTGCATCCTTATATCTTTTATAAGATGCATCTGATTTGTCCAATTTAAAATGCTTTAA